TAAACCTCAATCAATTGCCTTGAAACTTTGCACAACCCAAGTTCTCCGCTTCCAAACCTTATCCTGGAAGTTTCATGGATTTTGGTTACCCACAAGGCAAATGAGTGACATTAAGCTTGTTTTTTGGGAGCTTAATGTGGCTTAACGTACAAAAAACAACTTTTTTTGGGGTCATTTGATAAAACATACCAAAAGTTATTCACGTTAAACTATTTTATTACATTCCTGGAAAGCATTTAGCTTAATGTAAGAAGAGCTTAATGTACCATATTGTGCCTAAACCTCAATCAAATGCCTTGAAACTTTGCACAACCTAGGTTCCCATCTTCCCAAACCTATCCTGGAAGTTACATGGTTTTGGTTACCCACAGTGCAAATGAGTGACATTAAGCTTGTTTTTTGGGACACTTAAAGGACATTTCCACCTTTGTAAGTGATTGAGTTTTTGGTGGCAACGGGGAGGTGCAGGGGGGTGTGCGTGTGTGCATTCTTAGGAGTCACAGAGCTGTATTTCATACTTTATTTTATAGATTCTTTTATCGGCCAGAGCCCTAGAAGTACAAAATTCCCTCCACAATATCTTCAATCCGTCTCTCTCACAGGGTCTGGATTCTTATCTCTAAACTGCAATCAGCTGTTTTCCCCTCCTCCCCCCTCTGCTATATGGAGAAACAGCAGGATGAGTCATAGTTCTGTGTGTCTGTGTGAGTGTTAGGCTGGGTTCACACCTAGGCGGATTGAATATGCGTGTTTACTGCGATTCGCGGTAAAAAAACTGCGCGACAAACGCGTGTTTCCGAAGGCTCGTTGGCTGTTTCCCAATGGAAACGCCCGACCAAAACGCCCCAAAGAAGTACATGCACTTCTTTGGGCGTAGGGCGGTTTCCCACGCGTTCGTACTCGCGGAAAAACGCCCAGATGGGAACCATGCACATTGAAAATAATGGCATTTCCCTGTTTGAGCGTTTTTCCGCGAGTACGAAAGCGCGGAAAAACACCCAGGTGGGAAGGACACAGAGAGAAGGACACACTGTGCCTTAGGACACAGAGAGAAGTCTATAGAACAGGACAAGTGATCTCTTGTGTCCCTCTCAGATCTCCCCCTTATCCTGGGTCACATCTACACTCTGCTGCCCCAAGTCCAGGTTACCCCCTCCCCCCAAAAAGACATTGGGGGAAATTGATCAAAATTGGAGCAAACAGAATCTGGAGCTTCTCTCTTCAGTTTGTTCCGTTAAGATTTGAAAATGAGAGAGAGAAGCTGATTGGCTGCCATGCACAGCTGCTCCAGTTTTCGCCTGCTCCGGTTTCGATAGATCCCCCCCACTGTGCAGTGTCACCGGGGATGTGCGGGGTCCATGGAAATTGTTTGGTGTCACCACACGTGCTCTCCGCACATCCCCGGTAACCCCGCACATCCCCGGTGACAGATCTGTTTAGACCCCAGAGATTTCACCGTAGCCCCCCCAGCAGTAAAAAAATAAATACAAAATTAAAAAATAAATTAAAAATTAAAATAAAAAAATTAATAAACAAATGTTAAACAAAATAAAATGATTTAAAAAAAAAAAATGTGTAAAAAAAAAACCGAATAAAAAAAAGCACAACCCCCTCCCTCCCCCCACATAACACACACATATTGTTGTGCACACCATGCACATGCGCTGCAGTGCGTTGTTAGAACGCATCGCAGTGCATGATTTTATTTATTTTTTTTCTTTTAAAAAAAACAAGCTGGTCTCGGTCCAAGCAGTCTCTTAAACCTGTGCCCCTGTCCTGCAGTACCACCCTCACATCTGCTCTCCCCTCCTGCAGACCGCACAGCAGACAGGACACTCTCAAGCTGCCATCCTTGTTTCTCCTGACAGGCTGCCCAGGCCTCGATCCCGGCGATCTGTCTCATCTGTGGCCCCGTCCTGCAGTGCCGTCTCCATATTCACTCTGCCCTCCCGCAGACTGTACGGCAGGCAATACACTCCCCAGCTGTCATTCAAATCCTCTGCACACAGCAGAGGAGTCCTTCCCTCCCCCCTCCCTCTGCACTCAAGGTCCTCGTTGCAGCTAAGCAACACAGTGACTCACCCAGCAGTCAGCTGCTTTCACGACCGTTCTCCGGTAATCCTCTCACTAACAGACAACATATACAAGTGTTCACAGCTTACCCGGTCCACAGCCCTTCTTCTCTCCCCCCTCCCTTCCCATTACCAGTCTAGCATTCTTAGGATTCTCTAGCAGCTGCTACAGCATCAGCAATACAGGATCCAGACCCACCACAACATCCATCATCCACCTTCATTCACATCTCCATAATCATCATGTCCATCGTCGTTGATGTCGCAGCATTTCTTACCTAATGGTAAGTTCATGTATTGTTACCTATTAGAGTTTATTCATCATACTCACCTACTCATTCATTTACTCCTGACCACACGCTGACACTCCGGTTTTCCGACCAGAAGTGCTGGCACCTCACCACACAGCACCACCTTCCCGATAGCCCTGTTCCAGAGACGCAACTAACTTGGATGATCCAAAGGTCACGACATCACCTGTGGGCCATCCATCTCATCACACGTGAGTGCCCATCTCTCCCTTCCACCCACCTTCACCTAATCCACCTATCCTGCCTCACCTACACCCATTGTTCACCCAAGCGGTCCCAGACCCCAACACACCATCTCCCCCCACCCAGCCATATCCCCACCTGCTAGACAGGTACAACTCAGTTTGAGCGCTTCCCTTCCCACCAGTCCAGTGACGTCGATGTCTGTGACGTCACCGGACTCCTCCCCCCTTCGTTAGCCGATGTAGCCACTTGGGCCGGTGAGTTTGTCCAAGAAAGTTTCTGCACGAGCGCCAGCCAAGGCATTGGACCTATACACATACAGCACAGCAATGAAGAAATTAACTAGGATCACACTAATCCAGCACGTTATTCTGAGTTGCCCCACTCAAGCGGCGGCCATATTGAGTGGGGCACGTGAGATTACTAACGTGCTGGATTAGTGTGATCCTAGTTCATTTTATTACTTCATTGCTGTGCTGTATGTGTATAGGCCAATGTAGTTGTATCTGTATGTATGTGTGTTATAATTAATCGAAATTAATCGATTTTTAAAAAATTCGATTAATTGAACACGAAAATTTTAATCATTAGCAGCCCTAATATTTATATATAACATTTTTTATTTAGTTAATTTTTCTTTTTTTTACACTTTACATTTTTTTTGTCAATTATATAAAGCATTCACTATTACTGCTTGTTAATGTCATAATTTTTTTACAATTTTTAATATTAGGCTGCTTCAAACCTAGGAACAGCCAATAATAATCTTAGTGACCCTGAATCATGACATGCTGATTCTGCAGCATTTCAGGATTAGATGTCACTAAAAACTTCTGAACGTTCCTAGACTGATCAGAAGTCTGATACAAGGTTTCAAAATTTTGCTACAAGTTTCTATGCTTCATAGAAACTTGTAGCAAAAACAAAAAAAACAGTACACAGGGCTGTCAAAACAGATCAGGTTCACATCGCTCTGTTATCCCTGTCAGATACTCGATCGCCGACAGTAATCAGGTATCTGTTAAAGCCTAATTCTTTCATTTATGGATGCCTCAAAACTGAGTAGCCAGTGATTCTCAGAGGTTACCAACTTTTAACAGCTCCAAATAGCTGATCACGTACAGTGTACATGATCAGTCATTTGGGCACTTCATGATGGGGACGTAACAGTGTACATCTCCAGTCATGAAGGGGTTAATATCAACAGCACTCAAGAAGGTGGCCCAAAAGATCTTTCCTCTTATCAATATATCTAGTAGCTCAAGTAACAACAACAACAAAATATGTTATGATTGCTATAAGGAACACATCATCTTTCAAAATTAGGGGTTTTGGGGCGGGAGGGGGCGTGACGGTACATTGTATTCAATGGCACCGCTTCTACGCCCCCACCCGCAGTGTGATCGAATGCGTGGCAAAACTTTGCCAGCGTTGCATTCCACTGCAAACACAAAACATAGGTCTGCAGGCTCTCAGGGGGGCTGTGCAGATCTGTGGTGGGCTTTGCCTGCTGCAGAGCCCCCTACGGATCCTGCAAAGCCCACCACAGATCCTGCAAAGCCCCCAAGACCCAGCAAAGTCCCCCACAGATCCTGCAGAGACCCTGCAGTCTGCTGGCTCTCAGGGGGGCTGTGCAAGATCTGTGGTGGGCTTTGCAGGCTGCAGAGCCCCCTGCGGTTCATGCAGAGACCCCCACCCCCCCGAGACCCTGCAGTCTGCTGAACCTCAGTGGGGCTGTGCCAGATCTGTGGTGGGCTTTTCTGGCTGCAGAGCCCCCTAAGGATCCTATGCAAAACCTATGCTGGGCCCTGCCAGCACAGTCCTCCTACCTGGCACAGGAAACCCAGCCTCCTCCGCTGCCTCGGCGCCCAATCGTCTCAGCTTCGTCCCCCGACTGGAGCCTGGGCGACACCTCCCGCCTCCTCCATCGCGGTCTCTGTCCTTGCCTCCTCCGTTGAAGTCTTCGCCCCCCTGCCTCCTCAGTCTTCACCCACCTCTTCCATCTCCACCATATATCTCCGCCCCCTGCTTCTTCTAGCCTAAATGTTTTTTGGGGGGCAGCATTTTTGCCGCCCCCTGGAATCTGCCTCCCGAGGCAAACGCCTTGTTTGCCTCGCGGCAGATACGCCCCTGCCCGTGCCGATGGGGACAAGGGCCTCGTCCCCACAACCCTGACCCGGTGGGTGAAGGGGTCTGAAGAAGTTGCAAACATTTTGGCAAATATTATAAGCAACCAAATGTATCAATAGGCAAAAGCAAACGCCTCTTTACGTAAAATCCAATTCAGAATTTAAACAAAGGAAAAAGGCTTTCCAAATATTTACAAACTATGTGTAAACAAAGGATAGCTGTGTTATTGCTTGGATAAACTTTCAAGGTTTACCTATCCATTATTAATGCACCAAAACAAACTTCTTTGTAACCTTTTACATACCCCATAGTTTTTTGGACTTTTAACTTCCGTGATGGTTTTTCCTTTTCTGATAAATCCTCTTTTCTCTTGCGTTTCTTAATGGACCGATCATCATCTTTTAAAGTAGATACCTTGAAGTAAAGAAAGTGTATAAAAGAATCAACTTAGTGGCAGATTTTCAGATAAGGCAGGTTAAATAAAAATAAACATTTTCTTACTTTGGATGATTTCTGCTTTTTGCTTTGAATAAAATCTTCATTTTCAGAATCAGATGCTTGTCGAAACTGTAGTGTTCCTGTGTTGATATAAAAACCTCCATATTTTGTAGTTAGTGAGGCTGGGACCAACTCGTCATACTAGAATAAAACACAAGATGTGTTATGGGTTGAAATTACTTTTACAAACTTAGCAATGTGAACAAAAATGTGTGTATGTATGTAAGTCCACTTACAATGTATGTAAGTCCACTAAGGTATTGTAAATAAGTCACATTAACTAAGAGAGAACGAAAGAGAGAGAGAACGAAAGAGAGAGAAAGAAAGAGAGAGAACGAAAGAGAGAGAAAGAAAGAGAGAGAACGAAAGAGAGAGAACGAAAGAGAGAGAAAGAAAGAGAGAGAGAACGAAAGAGAGAGAGAACGAAAGAGAGAGAAAGAAAGAAACAGAACGAAACAGAACGAAAGAGAGAGAAAGAAAGAAAGAAAGAGAGAGAGAGAGAGAGAGAGAGAGAGAGAAAGAAAATGAAAGAAAGAGAGAAAGAAAATGAAAGAAAGAAAGAAAGAAAGAAAGAAAGAAAGAAAGAAAGAAAGAAAGAAAGAAAGAAAGAAAGAAAGAAAGAAAGAAAGAAAGAAAGAAAGAAAGAAAGAGAGAGAGAGAGAGAGAAAGAAAATGAAAGAGAAAGAAAAAAAGAATGAAAGAAAGAAAGAAAGAAAGAAAGAAAGAAAGAAAGAAAGAAAGAAAGAGAGAGAAAGAAAATGAAAGAAAGAGAGAAAGAAAATGAAAGAAAGAAAGAAAGAAAGAAAGAGAGAGAGAGAGAAAAAGAAACAGAAGGAAAGAAAGAGAGAGAAAGAAAGAGAGAGAAAGAAAGAGAGAGAAAGAAAGAGAGAAAGAAAGAGAGAGAAAGAAAGAGAGAGAAAGAAAGAAAGAGAGAAAGAAAGAAAGAGAGAAAGAAAGAAAGAGAGAAAGAAAGAAAGAAACAGAAAGATGGAAAATGAAAGAAACGAAAGAAAGAAAGAAACAGAAAGAAAAAGAAACAGAAAGAAAGAAAGAAAATGAAAGTAACAGAAAGAAAGAAAGAAAGAAAAAAAGAAAGAGAAAGAACGAAACAGAAAGAAAGAAATAAACAGAAAGAAAGAAAACCAGAAAGAAAGAAAAGGAAAGAAAAAGAAAGAAAGAAAGAAAGGTAGATGCGTGCTAAAGAAATGCAATCACAGATTTTTATTTTTCCAGCAAACCTATTTTAATAGGAAACAGTCATGCATTTTAAACATTTAGAAGTGCTGCTTGAGAGCAGACACAAGAAGATGTCTGCTGCTACATTTGTAAGCAGGAAAACCTCCTTTATGTGCCTGTCCAGAGCTGAACCCAAACCTACACAGGGGTGTGGAAATGTAAAAAAATACCTACTTGTCCAAGGACTAAAGTGGGGGCCAAATCTACTTGTCCCTCATGACAATCTACGTATTTGCCCGGATACAAAAAAATCCTTAACCAAGGCTGTATTTAACGGTGCTAATTTGCAAGTGAAATTCAGGGCAGCACTGGATGGTAGTATGGGGTACAGGTAGTTAACCCGTAGAGGCAGAGGGGAAGGACTGCTCGCTGAAAGTTAGGTATATCGGGGCGGGGGGGAGGGAGAGTTGGCCAGATTTGAGCAGGTAATTCAATTTTCCCAAAATTCTTGGTAAAGAAAACTCCACTTTAATGTGCATGTTAGAGAGTACTTGCTGTCCAGCTACCACACTATGTCACACAGTGGAATGGGGTGAAGCACTCAGCATACACACACACACACACAATGTCCTACTCGTGAATTTATTTTGCATGCAGATGACAGGGGCAGTGGGGTAGGTTTAAATTTCTTTAACTTTGATTTACTTTATTTTTTTTTACTTTTTAAAACTTGTATTGATCTCATCTTTTACTTTATTTTTAAACGTATTTTTATTTATTTACTTTTCACACTTTGTGATAACCCCTGTGTGATAGCATTTGGAGGGGACAGGTTCTCTTAATTGAACCTGTCACCTACAATCCAGCTGAGATGGAAAGGCAGCTGTCTCATCTCAGTGTTCACACAGAGCAGAGCGGAGAACCGACGTACTCCACTCTGCACCCCACTCTCCAACCTCAGCTAATTTTCCGTGGTCCCGAGTCCCCCAGAATAGCAGGGACCCTGAAGACCATGACGGGAGGGAGCCAGTGGGTGGGGAGATGGTGGTGACATAGTGGGCGGGGACAGACGGCAGATGGGAAGAGGCGCGAGGGGGAGTGGCAATCAGGCTGCTTATAAGTGATCTTGAGCAGCTGTACAGTTGTTCGAGATCATTTGTACAAAACGGCTCCTCCTCTACATTTGGCCCTGCTGCTTGCCTGAAGCAGGGCTATATGTAGAAAAAAAAAACTACCGGCCCAGTCCCCAGAACTGCATGTCCCGGGTGTCGGGTGATAGGAATTCCACATCCCTGCTACAATATGAGAACTTCCTTTTCAAAGATATGTAATTTTTGCACCTTATAACTTTTTACTAGTGATTCACCAATACATATTTAAGACTGAGGGATTTGGACACTGCTAAACAAAAAGAAAAAGACCAGCCTGGTGTAATTTCACACCCCCAGACACTCACAGCACACAAGTTTTTTTGACAAAGCAGTATAGAGAGGCTGTGTCCTTAAAACTCCAAGAGAAGGGTACATGATTCAGAGATAATTGGGCTGTCCAAAAGCAGTCCAACTGAAAAGCCGGTTCCCTTTTGCAGGGACCATCAGGAATAAGCAGTCATCAATGGAAGCCGTGGCTACAAGCTAGGCAAGCACAGCTCGAACTACAACTAGACAATGAAGAAAAACTTCCTTCTGAAGTACTGGTGCCAAATAGAGGGACAGAAACACAGAGGGGGGGAATTTATCATAGGCAGTTGCCTATGGCAACCAATCAGCTTCTCTCTTCAGTCTGTTCAGTTAAGCTATGAAAATGAAAACATTTTCTGTTCAAGTTTTGATAAATTCCTCTCAGTGTTCTGTTCAAGGTGAAAGGCCAAAACCACCTAAGGAAGAAGGAGACTCTAGGCCTTATTATTGTGTAAAACCAAAAGGCTTTCTTTACTGTTCAAATCCATCAGTCCTCTCACACACACACACACCTCGCAGTGATGATGGCAACAAGGAAAGCAGCATTGTGAATAAGTGTGGAAAGGGTAATATCCCTGAAAGGTCCAAAAGGTGCTTTTAGAAGAGTTGAAAGAACCAAATTCAAATCCCACAGAGTGGCTGGGAATTCACAAAAAAAAAACCACCCTGCACAAAGGTCTTAAAGAATAGGAGGCTAGCGGTCTTTGGAAGAACCACACGATATATGTCCCATGATGGTACTCAGGGCCAACTGTTGATCCAGACCTGATCGCAAAAAGATTTGTCAGATCAGAATTTAAATGAGTATTTTCTTGGGGTGACTGTTTCTTTCATTGCACCAAGCCAACTATGTCTTCTATATGTGATGTAAGACCTTGCGCGAAGTGGACTTCTAGTTTTAAGCATCATAGGAATCAAACATACAGACCCCCGACACTCAAGATCTGGGCTTCAACAAGCAAAAAAAACCCCGAAACCATGAAACCAGGTGGTAAATCGGTCCTTGGGACAAGAAGATCTGGACAATGTGGAAGAGGCCACAGAATTTCAACCAGGAGTCTGATCAGGTCAGAGTAACATCTACCTGGGCCAATCTGGAGCTACTGCTTCTGACAGAGGATCTCTGCACCTGGAGACAAACCTGTCCAGTTTTTTGTTGACCTTGGAAGTCAGAAGGTCCATATCTGGGCATCCCCCCACCTGTGACAGTTTCTGGAGCACTTCCGGTTATAGGGCCCCTTCCACCAGATCCAAGCATTGCAGCTGCGAAAGTTTGCCAGTAAGTTCTGGTTCCTCACTGATGGCTGATGTACGCCACTTCTGTGGAATTGTACAACTAAATCCTAATCAGCTGACCCTTCAGTCTGCAAGTCCTATATTATAGGGGCAAGCAAATCACCCAAAGCACCAAAAGCACCAAAATGTTGATCAAGAGATGAGATTCCTCCGGTGCCCAAATCCCCTGCAGCAACAAGGTGTTTAGGACTTTTCTGCAGCGTGTCAGGCCGCCATCCGTTGTGAGGATCTTACAAGAAAATAGGATTTTGGTACTCACCGTAAAATCCTTTTCTCAAAGGATCTACCACAGATAGGTAAATCCGCTTGTCCATACACTGAACAGATTTTTCCCACAATGAAAGGATGTTGAGTTGTAGGAGTCTGGAGTAGTACTAGACAAAGAGGACTGCCTTCAAGAAGCCTACCATCAGCCCCAGGATTTGCATGCACAAGTGGAGAGTCAGTTGATAACCTTTGTGAACACACAGGGTGCTAAACACAGGCCGCATGGGAGGCCTGCAAACTGAAGTGCTGGGGAACCTCAGTAAAGTGAACAAGATCCTTGATGTCTGCAGAGGCCAGACATACATATACACCAGGGGATGTGGACATTTTTGAAAAAAACACTTGTCCAAGGACTAAAGCAGGGGACCTTATGTTAATCTACTTGTCCTGAAAAAACTTTTTTTTTTTTTTAACCAAAACCGTATTTAGCAATGCCAAGAAGAGTTTCTCATTGGTCAGCGCCGTCAGGTGACCATGTTGACCAACGAGTGATCGCAATATGCGAGCGAAATTCAGAATACATGGAACAGGTACAGATAGTACACCCGTACGGGTGGATGGGAAGGATTGTTCGCCGACAGGTAAGTATAGTGGGAGGGAGATTTGTGTGGGTAATTCCATTTTCCAAAATTACTTGGGAAATTTAAATTTACCCTTTAGGGTTGGTGCAGACTTGGGCAATCCCGGGACGCGCAATCGTGTGCGGTTGCATCCGCGTGGCAATTGCTGAAAAAAGGTACCCGGGCGGTATTGCGGCAGGAAACCGCGTGATCTGCCTGGCACGACTGGGGTGCCATTAGAAAATAATGGCACTGCCAGCGCGATTGGCAGTGGTGTGCGATTCCGTGACTGCCCAGTCATCCGCTCGGTTTCGTGCATGATGATCGGGCGGTCACGGATTGCACACCACAGCAATGGGTTGGTTTCCATTTACTTTGTACA